TATCATCTATGTAGATCGGATTTTCATCTTAGCAGATGTAAGTATCATCTACTAGTATGTAGATCGGAGTTTCATCCACGTAGATGTAAGTATCATCTATGTAGATCGTTGTTTCATCCAAGCAGATGTAAGTATCATCTACTAGTATGTAGATCGGAGTTTCATCCACGTAGATGTAAGTATCATCTATGTAGATCGGATTTTCATCTTAGCAGATGTAAGTATCATCTATGTAGATCGGAGTTTCATCCCAGCAGATGTAAGTATCATCTATGTAGATCGGATTTTCATCCCAGCAGATGTAAGTATCATCTATGAAAACCGGAGTTTCATCCACGTAGATGTAAGTATCATCTATGTAGATCGGAGTTTCATCCAAGCAGATGTAAGTATCATCTATGTAGATCGGAGTTTCATCCAAGCAGATGTAAGTATCATCTACTAGTATGTAGATCGGAGTTTCATCCACGTAGATGTAAGTATCATCTATGTAGATCGGAGTTTCATCCGCGTAGATGTAAGTATCATCTATGTAGATCGGAGTTTCATCCAAGCAGATGTAAGTATCATCTATGTAGATCGGAGTTTCATCCAAGCAGATGTAAGTATCATCTATGTAGATTGGAGTTTCATCCAAGCAGATGTAAGTATCATCTACTAGTATGTAGATCGGAGTTTCATCCACGTAGATGTAAGTATCATCTATGTAGATCGGAGTTTCATCCAAGCAGTTGTAAGTATCATCTATGTAGATCGGAGTTTCATCCACGTAGATGTAAGTATCATCTATGTAGATCGGAGTTTCATCCAAGCAGATGTAAGTATCATCTATGTAAATCGGAGTTTCATCCGCGCAGATGTAAGTATCATCTATGTAGATCGGATTTTCATCTTAGCAGATGTAAGTATCATCTACTAGTATGTAGATCGGAGTTTCATCCACGTAGATGTAAGTATCATCTATGTAGATCGTTGTTTCATCCAAGCAGATGTAAGTATCATCTACTAGTATGTAGATCGGAGTTTCATCCACGTAGATGTAAGTATCATCTATGTAGATCGGAGTTTCATCCAAGCAGATGTAAGTATCATCTATGTAGATCGTTGTTTCATCTACGTAGATGTAAGTATCATCTACTAGTATGTAGATCGGAGTTTCATCCACGTAGATGTAAGTATCATCTATGTAGATCGGAGTTTCATCCAAGCAGATGTAACTATCATCTATGTAGATCGGAGTTTCATCCGCGTAGATGTAAGTATCATCTACTAGTATGTAGATCGGAGTTTCATCCACGTAGATCTAAGTATCATCTATGTAGATCGGAGTTTCATCCACGTAGATGTAAGTATCATCTGCTAGTATGTAGATCGGAGTTTCAACCACATAGATGTAAGTATCATCTACAAGTATGTAGATCGGAGTTTCATCCACGTAGATGTAAGTATCATCTATGTAGATCGGAGTTTCATCCACGTAGATGTAAGTATCATCTATGTAGATCGGAGTTTCATCCACGTAGATGTAAGTATCATCTACTAGTTTGTAGATCGGAGTTTCATCCACGTAGATGTTAGTATCATCTATGTAGATCGGAGTTTCATCCCAGCAGATGTAAGTATCATCTATGTAGATCGGAGTTTCATCCAAGCAGATGTAAGTATCATCTACTAGTATGTAGATCGGAGTTTCATCCACGTAGATGTAAGTATCATCTATGTAGATCGGAGTTTCATCCAAGCAGGTGTAAGTATCATCTATGTAGATCGGAGTTTCATCCAAGCAGATGTAAGTATCATCTATGTAGATCGGAGTTTCATCCAAGCAGATGTAAGTATCATCTACTAGTATGTAGATCGGAGTTTAATCCACGCAGATGTAAGTATCATCTACTAGTATGTAGATCGGAGTTTCATCCAAGCAGATGTAAGTATCATCTATGTAGATCGTTGTTTCATCCACGTAGATGTAAGTATCATCTACTAGTATGTAGATCGGAGTTTCATCCACGCAGATGTAAGTATCATCTATGTAGATCGGAGTTTCATCCAAGCAGATGTAAGTATCATCTATGTAGATCGTTGTTTCATCCACGTAGATGTAAGTATCATCTACTAGTATGTAGATCGGAGTTTCATCCACGTAGATGTAAGTATCATCTATGTAGATCGGAGTATCATCCAAGCAGATGTAAGTATCATCTATGTAATTCGGAGTTTCATCCACGTAGATGTAAGTATCATCTATGTAGATCGGAGTTTCATCCGCGAAGATGTAAGTATCATCTATGTAGATCGGAGTTTCATCCAAGCAGATGTAAGTATCATCTACTAGTATGTAGATCGGAGTTTCATCCACGTAGATGTAAGTATCATCTATGTAGATCGGAGTTTCATCCCAGCAGATGTAAGTATCACCTATGTAGATCGGAGTTTCATCCAAGCAGATGTAAGTATCATCTATGTAGATCGGAGTTTCATCCACGTAGATGTAAGTATCATCTGCTAGTATGTAGATCGGAGTTTCATCCACGTAGATGTAAGTATCATCTATGTAGATCGGAGTTTCATCCACGCAGATGAAAGTATCATCTACTAGTATGTAGATCGGAGTTTCATCCACGTAGATGTAAGTATCATCTATGTAGATCGGAGTTTCATCCACGTAGATGTAAGTATCATCTATGTAGATCGGAGTTTCATCCACGTAGATGTAAGTATCATCTATTTAGATCGGAGTTTCATCCACGTAGATGTAAGTATGTGCGGTAACGGGATTCCATATGCATTGTTTAGCATCGTGCTGACTACAACCCCTCAGAAAAACAACAAAATTACGCAATTATTCCACATTACGAAATGCCATGCCTGTCCGAAAATGAGCGTCTGTGAGCCATTGGTATGCTTGAAGCAGGATCGAGTCAACGTGATGTTGCAAGACAATTTAATGTCCACAGAAACACCATTTGATGGACGAATGCAGTCAAAGACCATCCTCGGAGTGGCAGGCCACGCGTAACCAATAATCGACAAGACAACTGGATTCGACAACACAACACACCTACCTACCTAAATTGTACAGCCCTGCCTCATAGACCCAGTCTGAACCCCAGCTGGATCTGTTTGTTCCAGCCAGCAACAGTGACTGCAAGAAGCATCCCTGGCCTTCGACGAATATCTTCACAACTGTACGTCGCCGCCTCATATGTGCATGGATTGTCGCCAGAAGACCTGCCAGACGTCCCATGTTGACAGGAAACCACCGTCAAGCACGTCTACAGTGGTGCAGACAGCGTCTACGCTGGACGGACATGCAGTGGGGACAAGTTCTATTCACTGACGAGTCTCGTTTTCACCTCAGCCACAGCGATGGACAGATTCGGGTGTACCGACGTCGAGGTGAACGTTACGTCAATCATTGTCTCATGGAAGAAGATCGGTTCGGGGGCGGCAGCGTTATGGTATGGGGTGGGATTACAGAAAGACAGAGGACCCGTTTGATAGTGGTAGAGGGAAATCTCAATGGACAGCGCTACCGCGACGAGATCATCGGCCCTGTTGTTTTACCGTTTTTGCGGCGTCATGGCCCAGGCATAACCTTTCAACATGACAACGCCCGGCCTCATATTGCTCGACTTGTTCAGGATTCTCTTCAACAAAAAAACGTGAATGTCATCCCCTGGCTGGCTCGCTCCCCTGATCTCTCACCAATCGAGCACATGTGGGATGAGATGAATCGTCAACCACGTGTTCCACAAACACTCCAGGAACATCGAAACATGCTCCAGCAGATATGGACAGATATCCCACAGGACTTTGTGCGACGCCTGGTCCATTCCATGAGACAAAGATGTGTTGCTTGCATCGCATCCAGAGGTCGTCACACACGCTTTTGATTTGTAAACTGACATTTTGGCATGTTCATGTTTTTTTTATGAAATCACGCATTTTCTGAAGTCAGTATGGCAAATTAAACCATTTGAACACTTACAGGAGTCTTTTATCTGTTGCAAACCGAAATTGTTTCAGATTTGGTAAAAAACATAACTTTGCATTAAATCTTATTCAATGTCACAGGAACTTTTGTTGTTTAGTATATGTCTGTTAGATCAAATAGTACATTTAGCTTCACGAGAGAATTTGGTCTGGGTAGGAAATATTTCATCACCGGAGTCGGTCAACATACTCACTGTACGTTCGTTCGGAATGTTGCAACGAACGTGCACGGGTTTACGCCGCCTCACAAAGGTCTCCAATAGTAATTTGGCAAAAATGAAACTTAGGCTAATGGCATCTGAAGTTTATAGAGAAAGCAATGTGTGACTTCCTCATAGATAACATATATGTGAAAATTGGGGATAGGACAACTCCAACTTCCACTTTCTAAAAGTCAACTTCACCTTTGTGTCGAGTAATAGTTCAGAAGCTGCTGTCGTGCATGCGCGTTCCCACGAATATTTGAAAAAGCATCATACGACTCAAGGCCTCAGTACAGCTGTGAAAACCTTTTATGATAGACATTTTGATAACATTTCCAAATTGAACGCATACAATAATCATGTCCTATGCAATTCCTTATTTTGACTTGTACCAGATGTTCCCGTGTTTTTAGGTGAACAATTGATTTGCCTTTGCATGTGTTCGTAACCGTTGCCACAAGTAGGGCAGGATTCGGTCACCTCTTCGTGAACACCTGTTATCAAAACTATTTGATAGTGATATATACATAATATGCTTATGCTATAGTCGGAATCGTACAATATACCCTTAGAGGGCTTTGTCGCTTTTAATCCAGTGTAGAGGTAGATTACCTGTAGACCTAATCGCGCCCAATGGAACTTGAATCTAACACGCCTCGTGGTGTACTAACACATTCAACTCACTAACAGTAACACAGTACCTCGACGAACAGATCCTAATGATTGAAGAGTGTCCATTGCACCTTACAACCTGGCCCTGTTGGGTGGAGATGTGATTGTGATAAATATGCCAAGACTGGGTTATGCGAACAAGGTATTTATTCGTTCATGAATGGCGTCATGTTTTCTTTCAGCGGCAGCTACTGGAACAGTGGGACCACACCGTTGCTGTAGGACACTGCACGAGTAAGGCGGCGTTGTTTTCGCAGTGGTAGTACGATGTATTGCTTTTGGGATTGGGGATGTCGGAGATGCACCCTTGCCGGCAAACACCTGACGAAAACAACAGTTTATATTGATTGGACCTAACACGAAGTTAACGCTAAAACATAAAGAGAGCTGACTACAAAAAGAAATATTATCTTTCACTCGCTGTGATATAAGATATGATAAAAATTATTGTATATCAAATTGATATTATTATTAATGAGATGCCCTAAATTTGTCTTCATATCGTCACTCTGTAGACAACAAGAAACATATGTTAGTGTAAAAAGGAATTCAATAATTCTTGTGGGATTTTAGATGTCAGTTATCTTAAATCCATAATGTAACACACACCGATGTTACTGCTGATTACCTGACATCCGTTGAAGCATGTTGTGTGTCAGAAACAGCCAAACCTACATAGATCCTCAAGTCTCCAATGTTCGCAGTAGAGGAATCTGTGATTTTAGCGACTGAACCGTGACTCTGAGTAGCAAATAGAGAACAACCTTTGGGCAGCTGCCAGCCCTGCCCCATAAACCCAGTCTGAACCCAACCCGGATCTGTTTGTACAGCCCCGCCCCATAGACCCAGTCTGAACCCCAGCTGGATCTGTTTGTACAGCCCTGCCTCATAGACCCAGTCTGAACCCCAGCTGGATCTGTTTGTACAGCCCTGCCCCATAGACCCAGTCTGAACCCCAGCTGGATCTGTTTGTACAGCCCTGCCCCATAGACCCAGTCTGAACCCCAGCTGGATCTGTTTGTACAGCCCTGCCTCATAGACCCAGTCTGAACCCCAGCTGGATCTGTTTGTACAGCCCTGCCCCATAGACCCAGTCTGAACCCCATCCGGATCTGTTTATACAGCCCTGGCATATAGACCCAGTCTGAACCCCATCCGGATCTGTTTGTACAGCCCTGCCCCATAGACCCAGTCTGAACCCCAGCTGGATCTGTTTGTACAGCCCTGCCTCATAGACCCAGTCTGAACCCAAGCTGGATCTCTTTGTACAGCCTTGCCCCATAAACCCAGTCTGAACCCCAGCTGGATCTGTTTGTACAGCCCTGCCTCATAGACCCAGTCTGAACCCCAGCTGGATCTGTTTGTGAAGCCCTGCCCCATAGACCCAGTCTGAACCCCATCCGGATCTGTTTATACAGCCCTGGCATATAGACCCAGTCTGAACCCCATCCGGATCTGTTTGTACAGCCCTGCCCCATAGACCCAGTCTGAACCCCAGCCGGATCTCTTTGTACAGCCCTGCCCCATAGACCCAGTCTAAACCCCAGCTGGATCTGTTTGTACAGCCCTGCCTCATAGACACAGTCTGAACCCCAGCTGGATCTGTTTGTACAGCCCTGCCTCATAGAACCAGTCTGAACCCCAGCTGGATCTCTTTGTACAGCCCTGCCCCATAGACCCAGTCTGAACCCCAGCTGGATCTGTTTGTACAGCCCTGCCTCATAGACCCAGTCTGAACCCCAGCTGGATCTGTTTGTACAGCCCTGCCTCATAGACCCAGTCTGAACCCCAGCTGAATCTGTTTGTACAGCCCTGCCCAATAGACCCAGTCTGAACCCCAGCTGGATCTGTTTGTACAGCCCTGCCTCATAGACCCAGTCTGAACCCCAGCTGGATCTCTTTGTACAGCCCTGCCTCATAGACCCAGTCTGAACCCCAGCTGGATCTGTTTGTACAGCCCTGCTCCATAGACCCAGTCTGAACCCCAGCTGGATCTGTTTGTACAGCCCTGCCTCATAGACCCAGTCTGAACCCCAGCCGGATCTGTTTGTACAGCCCTGCCTCATAGACCCAGTCTGAACCCCAGCCGGATCTGTTTGTACAGCCCTGCCCCATAAACCCAGTCTGAACCCCAGCTGGATCTGTTTGTACAGCCCTGCCTCATAGACCCAGTCTGAACCCCAGCTGGATCTGTTTGTACAGCCCTGCCTCATAGACCCAGTCTGAACCCCAGCTGGATTTGTTTGTACAGCCCTGCCTCATAGACCCAGTCTGAACCCCAGCTGGATCTGTTTGTACAGCCCTGCCTCATAGACCCAGTCTGAACCCCAGCTGGATCTGTTTGTACAGCCCTGCCTCATAGACCCAGTCTGAACCCCAGCTGGATCTGTTTGTACAGCCCTGCCTCATAGACCCAGTCTGAACCCCAGCTGGATCTGTTTGTACAGCCCTGCCTCATAGACCCAGTCTGAACCCCAGCTGGATCTCTTTGTACAGCCCTGCCTCATAGACCCAGTCTGAACCCCAGCTGGATCTGTTTGAACAGCCCCGCCCCATAGACCCAGTCTGAACCCCAGCTGGATCTCTTTGTACAGCCCTGCCTCATAGACCCAGTCTGAACCCCAGCTGGATCTGTTTGTACAGCCCTGCCTCATAGACCCAGTCTTAACCCCAGCCGGATCTGTTTGTACAGCCCTGCCTCATAGACCCAGTCTGAACCCCAGCTGGATCTGTTTGTACAGCCCTGGCCCATAGTCCCAGTCTGAACCCCAGCTGGATCTGTTTGTACAGCCCTGCCTCATAGACCCAGTCTGAACCCCAGCTGGATCTGTTTGTACAGCCCTGCCTCGTAGATCCAGTCTGAACCCCAGCTGGATCTGTTTGTACAGCCCTGCCTCGTAGACCCAGTCTGAACCCCAGCTGGATCTCTTTGTACAGCCCTGCCTCATAGACCCAGTCTGAACCCCAGCTGAATCTGTTTGTACAGCCCTGCCCCATAGACCCAGTCTGAACCCCAGCTGGATCTGTTTGTACAGCCCTGCCTCATAGACCCAGTCTGAACCCCAGCTGGATTTGTTTGTACAGCCCTGCCTCATAGACCCAGTCTGAACCCCAGCTGGATCTGTTTGTACAGCCCTGCCTCATAGACCCAGTCTGAACCCCAGCTGGATCTGTTTGTACAGCCCTGCCTCATAGACCCAGTCTGAACCCCAGCTGGATCTGTTTGTACAGCCCTGCCTCATAGACCCAGTCTGAACCCCAGCTGGATCTCTTTGTACTGAAGTACTGTATTCCACAAGATATGCGAACTTGGAGGGTATAAAACACTGTACATATTCTTTGATTTAAAGCTGAAGTTTAGTTTTCAATTGTGTCTGTGAGACACATGACGTCTATTTTAATCATTGTTATTTCTTTGTGAAAATAATTAAAAAATCAATCCCACCTGCACAACTCTTGTTGTTGCACTCTTCAATAGCCGTTGCAGTGCCCCCTGATATTGGCTTACAGAATAAACCTCCCTCACAGTTTCTTTTTTTATGGATAGTTTTAGTTCCTTCGCCGCACAGAGCGCTACACTCACTAGCAGTCTCAGTCCATTGACTCCAGCTTCCCCATACTGCGAACATGACGGTCAAAGTATCATCATATAGACACATATCATCATATATAAACAGTATCATCATATAGACACATATCATCATATAGACACAGTATCATCATATAGCCATATAGACACATATCATCATATAGACACAGTATCACCATATAGACACAGTATCATCATATAGACACATATCATCATATCGACACATATCATAATATAAACACAGTATCATCATATAGACACAGTATCATCATATAGCCATATAGACACATATCATCATATAGACACAGTATCACCATATAGACACAGTATCATGATATTGTCACATATCATCATATAGACAGAGTATCATCATACAGACACAGTATCATCATATAGACACAGTATCATCATATAGGCACAGTAATGATATAGACACATATCATCATATAGACACAGTATCATCATATAGACACAGTATCATCATATAGACACAGTATCATCATATAGACACAGTATCATCATACATACACAGTATCATCATATAGACACATATCATCATACATACACAGTATCATCATATAGACACATATCATCATATAGGCACAGTATCATCATACATACACAGTATCATCATATAGACATATCATCATAATTACACATATCATCATATAGACACATATCATCATATAGACACATATCATCATATATACACATATCATCATATAGACACAGTATCATCATATAGTCATAAAGACACATATCATCATATCGACACATATCATCATATCGACACATATCATCATACAGACACATATCATCATATAGACACATATCATCATATAGACACAGTATCATCATATAGTCATATAGACACATATCATCATATCGACACATATCATCATATAGACACCGTGTCATGAGCATCATCATATACATGTTTAAACATATCATCCTTTAGGCAGAGTTTGTTACACTTTGTTTATTTGTTGTTTAACGCCGCACTCAGCAATATTACAACTGTATGACGTCGGTCTGTAAATAATCCAGACAAACCAGTGATTGGTGTTATGAGCAACGTTCCACGACGTCGGGGCACGATGCAACGCAATCAAATAATTAAGTCACCGGGCCTGACCACCTGTTAGATTCAATGACCCAGGTTGATGAGGACCAATTCTGACCCGGAATCCCTTCGGTGATGTAAGCTTTGTTTGTTTGTTTGTTTGTTTGTTTGTTAGTTTGTTTGTTTGTTTGTTTAACACAACACAGCAATATTTCAGCTATATGGCGGCGGTCTGTAAATAATCTGGAACAGACATTCCAGTGACTGAATCTATGCAGTTGGTATAGGATTACACGTTTCAATCTGGAATCGCTTTTAGCAATATTCCAGCAACATCACGGCGGAGGACACCAGAAATTGACTTCACAAGTTAGTACCCATGTGGAGACTCGAACCCGGGTCCACCCGGGTACACACTAAATATAGTCAATTATGTGTCAGGAGTTGTGGTGGTGATCGTACATACTAAATATAGTCAATTATGTGCCAGGAGTTGTGGTCGTGATCGTACACACTAAATATAGTCAATTATGTGTCAGGAGTTGTGGTGGTGATCGTACATACTAAATATAGTCAATTATGTGTCAGGAGTTGTGGTTGTGATCGTACATACTAAATATAGTCAATTATGTGTCAGGAGTTGTGGTCGTGATCGTACAAACTAAATATAGTCATTTATGTGTCAGGAGTTGTGGTCGTGATCGTACATACTAAATATAGTCAATTATGTGCCAGGAGTTGTGGTCGTGATCGTACACACTAAATATAGTCAATTATGGGTCAGGAGTTGTGGTGGTGATCGTACATACTAAAAATAGTCAATTATGTGTCAGGAGTTGTAGTCGTGATCGCACATACTAAATATAGTCAATTATGTGTCAGGAGTTGTGGTCGTGATCGTACAAACTAAATATAGTCATTTATGTGTCAGGAGTTGTGGTCGTGATCGTACACACTAAATATAGTCAATTATGTGTCAGGAGTTGTGGTGGTGATCGTACAAACTAAATATAGTCAATTATGTGTCAGGAGTTGTAGTCGTGATCGTACATACTAAATATAGTCAATTATGTGTCAGGAGTTGTGGTCGTGATCGTACATACTAAATATAGTCAATTATGTGTCAGGAGTTGTGGTGGTGATCGTACATACTAAATATAGTCAATTATGTGTCAGGAGTTGTGGTGGTGATCGTACACACTAAATATAGTCAATTATGTGTCAGGAGTTGTGGTGATAGTACACACTCAATATAGTCAATTATGTGTCAGGAGTTGTGGTCGTGATCGTACATACTAAATTTAGCCAATTGTGTGTCAGGAGTTGTGGTGGTGATCGTACATACTAAATATAGTCAATTATGTGTCAGGAGTTGCAGTTACTGCGGAGCTAAATTAAGTTAAAAACACTCACCCTGTCCGCAGGATCTGAAATGAAAGAACAGGTGTCTAAATGGTTGATGTAAATTTCGCTGGATGGCGTCCTCAAAGAGGGAATTATTTCAAATGTATTTTGTAACAAAAAGAATAATTGTGCCTATGATCTTTTATGATAAATCATTTTTATAGGAGCATTTCTCCCGCCCTTTCTTTCTTCAAACAATTATCATTTATTTGTATCTGCGAGTGAGTGAATTGGTTTTACGCCGCTTCTAACAGTATTCCAGTTATATCACGGCGTGTTAGTACCTACAGTATAGAACGGTCATAGAAGTTTTCAGATTAAACAAATATGTTTTAGTGTCACCCGATAATGATATGCACGTGGACATTGGTTGAGCACCCCGCCTTTTTCATTGGATGTCTAAGGGACCGACCATTTGATATGGAAACTAGCTATTGTTTCAGCTACATCCGCAACACCAGATTAAATATAATTGAACTATCTGACTAAATATACTTTTGCCTACAACTTGCAACAATGTATTTTTGTGGCTAACGTTTTTTTCAACAGTCAGAAGCACCAAAACAATTTCAAGCATTTTCTAGATAAAATCCCATCCCTCAAGCAGAGTCGATTTTACGATTTCTACTACATCGTGACAATGTGTTTATGAATCACTATCAAATTGTGATGGTAATAGTGATGATAGCCATGAATATGGGAACACCCCAACTATCGACGGCTGATTGCAAACATACCACTGCCATTATTGCCACAGCAGTAAATCTTACATGCACGTGGAATTCATGTGTCATCGATGAGTTGCACGTAAAGATAGAGGCAATGCGCATGTGCATCGTCAAACATGGCGTGGAAACATGGCGAGACAATACATGAGTTCAGCACAGAAAGGGCAGTTAGCTGGTAGCATTAGGTCCGGGCAATCTATACGACAGGCTGCAGCAGACAGTCAGCAGTGTGATGTCACGACTTTGGACCCTCTGTAGGCAAACATCTATGGGCAAACGGGACGTTGCGATGAGACGTGGCCGTGGACGAAAGCCTAGACCAACCCCTCGTGACGCTCGCGAAATATGGCTCATTGCTTTCCACCTGCATCACTTCGGGCTTTCCTCCCACGTGATGTTGACATGCAGTGATACAACTGGAATGCTGTACAGAGCAGCGTTAAACCCAACTCACTAAATCACTCAGTCACTTACGGAGAGACGACGGAGATGAGAACCAGCACAAGCACTGCTGCATTTAAGGCCTGCATCGTCAGAAGTTGAAGATCAGAGACGTCTACGAAGGTGGTTGAGGTGGAGGAGCTGTATTCAATCCTGCAAGACTCGGGCAGATACAGCAGATCAGTATGTGAAGAACGATTTGCAGTCAGAAATCTGAAACTGACATTCCGGTTAGGGAAGTTATGTGCTCTTGTTTTGTGTAAAATATACATATGAATTTAAAATTGAAAAATATAATTTATTTATACCAAGTACTGAGGATATGTTATGTAATTCAGACATCTGGTTGCAGCTCTCAAAACAATGGTCCAGCAATATCCCGACACACAAACACATAACACACCACCATACGTGTGATTGAGTACCATTTGGGCAAGAAACCTACTTACGTTTACACTCAAGGTCATTTCTCAAACGAGAAGATATATAACTGAGCCACACTTCGTAGAGAAATACTGAACGTTTTAGAAGTTTTGGATTGGACATAAATCACACACTTAGTTGAAATGTTACCCTAGAAACTTAAAAACCGAAACATTTGAATTAATACATAGTAAAAGTCACCTGTTCAGCAGTTCATCTATATAGTACCTTTTGTTTTATCCCGGTAACACCAAATCTCAAAATTATATATATGAATAGCAAAAGTCAAAGGAATCGCAGTTGACTTGATATTTGAACGTATCCCGACGTCAATGGCCAAAATTATCGATGTTTCAGAGTCTGTGGTTAGCAGATTATGGAACAGGTACCAACAAACCAAAAATGTTGACGATCGGCCCCGTTCAGGGCGTCCCAAGTCAACGATAAGGGTACAGGATCTATTGATCCGAAACCAGACTCCACGAAATCGAGCTCAAACAGAGAGCCAAATTGCTTCCGACTTTCATCAGGCCACTGAGTACGAGTTACAGGTCACCCGATTAGAAATCGTCTTCATACAGCTCCATGCTCGACTGTTGTTTGTTGTGCTGCCCCTTACAAATCGTTATATTGCCAACAGACGTCAATGGTGTACACAACGTCGAAATTGGGTTTCGCTGGTCACGTGTCATGTTTTCAGATGAGTCCCGGTTCATGTTGCACTTCATCGATAGGCGTGGTCGTGCCTGGCAACGTTGCAATGAACGTCAAGCCAATGTCATCGTGAGACCTCATGACAGATCTGGCGGCGGATCATTTTTGGGTGTGGGGTGACATTACTATAACTGAGGGAACCCGACTTCATATTGTGCAAGGAAGGGTCACTGGACAGTACTACTGGGACAACATACTGACATCTTTTAATGTCCCGTTTGCAAGGCGTGCCATGCACGAATCGTCAATGCATACCTCAAGCAGCACAACATCCAAAGAATTGCAGACCCGTGGAATGTTAGGGGTCGCTTTCTCAGAGAGCGTGTGCGACAGCCTCATAATCTAGATGAAATGTTCTTGTTTCTCTTGCGATGAAGAGCTTCCACCAGGAACATGAAATGCAGCATGCACAGACGGCACCAGGGTCACACACGTTAGGATAGAATACTAAGTTTTATGTTATGTCCCCGAAGTGGACGCCGTAGTTTTTCTACTTACCGTAAATCCTATAAACACCGGTTCAATCGACGCAACGAAGAGACATCAAGAAGAGGCATTTGAAACTATGCCTCGAATATAGGATGAGTCAAAGGACTTTCCGACAAAAACACTTTCAATAATCAAAGTGGGTGAGGTCAAACGCCGATAAACCTAGAAATTTAATCGGGGCGAACCGGGATTCGAACCCACGATCACTGATTTCTAGCTTGTTCAAGGGACGCAACTCTGCACAGCGAATAACGGTGCCTGGACGACTGGGTCACCATAACCTCTTCAATAATCATGAGAAATCTGTTCTAAAAGCAGTCGATTTTACTATTCCAACTATATGACGAGCTCTTTATGAAGTATAACAAGCACGTGAATCGGGAATTTATAGAATGTATTTTATCGAAGGCACCAACACGGTTCCAAAATGCAGCAAGACAAAATAAGGTCAACTTAGGAGAGACAGAGAGTAAAAGAGTGAAACAAATAGTAATGTGCCGCACCTCACATTAGTAACATGATAGCAATACATAATATGATTGAATGAGTATAGTTTTACACCACGTTTAGCAATATCACGACGGGAGACCCCTTAAACGGGCTTCGCACATTGTACCCATGTGGGGAATCGAACCCGGGCCTTCGGAATGACGAGTGAACGGTCTAGCCACGAGGCTACCCTATCGCTTCCATACTATAAACAAGGAAACCTTATGGATGAACAGCTTCAGTATCACAACTGAGGCGCTGTGGCGGTGTAGATTCCAACATGTCTATCACTTGCTTGATAAAGGTGTCACTCGTCATAGTCACCACACAAAGAAGAAATACATATTGATATATTCACACAGACTTTATAGGCCTTTCGTGCTGTTGATTACGTTCCGCATCCCTGAACGAGTAATGCATACGATGTTACGATGTGTAATATTCTAATCTCTTCCATACAAGATATTGTTTCGTGTCTTTTTGTATCATTTGTTCCTGTATGCCTATAGAAATCGCAATCTTGTATATACTATGGAATATAGCCAGGGAAATTCTCACGATCTCGCCCTTTGGAAACAAGCTAAATGTATCAAAAGTGCAAGGACATGAGAATGTCCCTTACAGTATTCCATAGTATGCAAATCAAACATGAACAGTACTTTACAAAGGAATCCACAAGAGATTATCTCGATGAACATCAAATATTTCTAAATCACAATTAAAGCTTATCATTTTCAATGGTCTGCCCGATGCCAACAATGTGAGAGACATATACCAAACAAACACTCACCTTCAGGAAATGGCTTCTCGTCTTCTCCTCCCATGCTGTGAACAGCCTTATAAAGCCAACAGGTGGATAGGTGGCTGCCAATCAAACTGCAGCGAATATACGTGGCGGTTATTATTTTTATTTTATTATATATATTAGTCGTATCCATCAGTTTATTAACTGATTCCAAGTATGTGATGACTACTTTGATAGATTTCTGAAGTTGATGAAATATGTATCACTGAAATTCATTTTATCATCTCATACATTAATATAGTACTCGTATACCCCCGTGACAGTTCCATCGCCCGATTCTGTGTTGTTCTTTTACTATTTGACAGTTAGAATATTTAAAACACCACGCAACCTTTTTGCTTCACATGAAGGGCTTTGAAAAATAATACAAATATCTGAGTTGCAGAACAAACACATACTTATTTTTGTTTTTATTGTATGCCATTTCTTTGTTGTTTGTTGTTTTGATTTCTGGGTTAACTTATTGTTTCAAGTTGGAAGTTGACACGTAACAATATAAAGGTTTTCACAGCCCAATATGTGCTGAGATCGATGTTATTTCAAACCATCCGGAGATCATTCATTTGTTATTTGTGTTTCTGTAAAATGTTGATAAATACTTGTGAAAAAGATTTATCACAAACATATTTTTTCATCATCAACTTCTCTTGTGAAACAATGTCTGTCAGAACACTGTTACATAAATTAGTAAACGTGAGACATATATTAAGACTCCTAAATGTATGCCAACGTTGTGTATGGTCATTTGGATTTTGGCTTTTCCTTACCCTCTATAAGAAACAGCAATCTGGAGCCTGATAACGGTGTCAGAATCGTCCCTATATACAATTAAGCAGCAGTTGTTATCCATAAACTTGTACGTTTTCTTATTTACTCACCAGCTTCTAGAATGCCAATCAAACAGTTAACAGATATATTGACAAGTTATCTACAATGGAATGCCATATTCTCTAGAGAATGTCCTGTAATGATTGGTGTAAGACAAGGATACGTGTTGTCCCAAACATTGTTTTCTGTGTTCATATATGATGTGGGAGGTGAAATTAAAAGCCGTAGTTGTGGCACTGACATTGATGGTTCTGCATTACGCATTCTCTTTTAAAACTACAATTGATCATTATTGACATCTGTCTATTGGTAGGTCGTGTCTGATATATTTACTTGTAACAATATAGAATACACTTAAACCACTAAAAATATTTGGACTTCAATTATACAGGTTTGTTAATACTTTCAAATGAACCCTTAATATCAGGAAATGTACATTTAAATCAATCAGGATTTACTATGAAGCGTTTTTAACATTGTTTCATGCCGATATATCTCTGAGATACATGTATTGCCTTTTCGACACAAAATATTAAATTAACTCTCACAATAACTTGGTCCAGTGCAGTCTATCATAAGGGTTTTCAGGGATAGGGAATAGAAGTGGAAACATTTCAAGTCGGTTTCACCATCTTTTCTAGGAAAAGAATTGCTTCTTTCTGGGGAAAACCTCTCAGCCCAACCCGTGATCAGACTTTATTAAAGGTGTGTCCCTAAAATACCGTATTTCATGGACTAATAATGTGATGAAACTGCCGGTACCACTATGCACCATTTTAAGACATTCGACCCATGACCAATAAGTTATAATATATATTAACATCATAATTAATATTGATTTAGAAACACAGATGATGTGGGGACTTGGAACTAATAGAGCACAATAACGTAGTTAGTACAACCTAGCAGTAATCTGATTCGCCTTGGACGTGTTGGACGCCTAATGTTTATAAGGGTGACATTCTCATATAACGAATAACGCTCTTGACACACTGATGAAGTAAAGTCTCTGAGGATGGGCTTACATTCATATACATATACGTTTACAAATATATGAAGTTAATTAGAAAGTGTGACTTCGAGAACTGATGTTCATACATTAGGCTCACTCTATGCTGAATCAATCCATAAAACAGTATGGAATATGAAAACATTCATGGTCCCGGGCCCCTTGAAGAAATTGCCGGATGAGAGAGCAAAGTGGTGTTTGTGGGGTTGGGTATGGGGGCGGTTAACGTGGTGGGGCGTGGGTGTAAAAAGAACTTTGAATAATGCATAAATCCAAACAGTGAATGTCATCAAATTGTGATAAACGGTACAGTGCTATACCATCTAGCCGTCATGTGAACCTTGAACATACGCCACCGCTATAAGGTTTGGATTGCAAAATAAGTGTTTACATACGTTTTTAATGTATTTAATTCCGGCATGAACCAGGAAGAACATTTCATGGCCCTCCAGTATTCAGTTGTTAGATGATGGACGTGCACGAATCCACATCCAATCAAGTATATCATTTATAACGGTCTGTGGACATGGCATGAACTTGACTTTTATTTGTGTATTGCAAGGGTAAATAGGGTCAGTACTTCAGCGACGATATTTTGATGTTCAACAAATTTATTCCGTGTCAAAAAGCAGGAATAATTGACAATGTATGGGAGAATTGTGCATTTTGCAACAATGACTTTGGGCTCCATAAAATGAAATGCACGTGCCGAAATACTGTATAAAACTGATGACACGCAACTTATGAACACATCAACCAAAAGGACCAAGACAATATGCCACGTTTAAGCGTTTATACAGAGGGAGAGAGCCGTTGGAATGGTGCAACAAGGAGCCACATACGACGCCATTGCAAGAACACTTGAATGCACCCGTGTCACCATTACCAGAATGATGAACCGTTTACAACAGACAGGACAGACATCAGACAGGCGTAGAAGCAGGTGAGCATCCATCTCCGAAACCGTTTCATTACAGCAACGACAGCAACGGCACTGGGACACAGGGTACGTCGACAGACATTGTATAGGACATTAAGAGAACGTGGTATCAGAGAACGTCGACCCTGCCGTTGACGTTGGCAAGTGTGAGACTGAGTTCTCCGATCAGAGTAGATATTGCTTGCACAGACATGATGGTGGACAGCGAGTATACAGAATATACAGGTGAACGTTTAGTGCCAAATTGTGTTCAACAAGTTCAACCATTTGGAAGCTGTGGCGTCATGGTCTGATGAGGCAACCGCGTTGATGTCAAAACGAGGCTCGTTATTATTCAGAGAAACCTGAATGCCCAGATATATCGGGATGAACTTTTGAGGCCCGTTGTGCAGCCCTTCATTCAGCAACAGCCACGTGGAATTGTGTTCCAGCAAGACAATGCGCATACGGCAAGGCTCTTTCTGAACAACGCAAACATTCACGTTTTACCCTGGCCGGCATGTTATCCTGATATGAACCCATTCGAACATTCATGAGATCACACTGACCGACAGATCAGAAGGCGACCAGCGGTACCAATCAATCGTCAAGAACTGGAACAATGTCGCCTTTACGAATGGCAGCGGATTACCCCTAACGTCATCCGACGTTTGGCGTCATCGGTGCGTCGTGTTCAGGCGTGCGTTAATGCACAAGGTGGACATACTCTGCCTTAAGTTGGTTTCGAATGTGTCAATTTTACCCCCATGTGTCTCAGTCAGTCGTAACGTTTTTGTTTGGATGACATGAGCAGTTCTACACGTTATGTTAAAACACAATTTAAAAAATACACATTACACATATTGACTTCCTGAATGCTTTTGTTTTTCTTTCATAGCCTTTCCAACACTTAGTATACTTTGTTTTGGACATTAATTAATTAAGAATACAAATTAGATTATAAGAAATAAAGGGGTCAAGATACAAGGTATTGGGCCTGTCCTACCAGCCCAATGTCATTGGTTCTGGTTGTCATCTCCGCTGTCCCCGTGACACGGTAAATGGATGGGGAATTTAAGTGCAGCCTCGTGTGTCATTTCGTTGATCAGCTACTAAAGTGGTTTGCATAAACAGAGGCGTCCCAATCCCCCTATTTCCCTCACAAACATGCAGCAGGATCCATTTGGACCAAATCAGTTGATTGCTGGCATCACCAATATTAATAAACACCACTGCTCTAATTGTAAATAAAAGCGACAGAAATCATTTTCATATTCTTAAGAAATCTCTGCCAAAAGCAAAGTCATTTGTACTCCTCCGACTATATCATGACCAAGTTTTTATTAATCACTTTCAAATAGTGATGATACCAGGTGTTTGTGAAAAGGTGAGTGCATCCAGCCCCACCGGTGCACAAAGGTTGCACAAGAAGTTGTACATGTAGTGGTCAGTGTTTTCGTGAGTGACATTGCAGTTCAAATTTGTTCAACGTACGAAATACGAGAAGATTCATACGTTTAAGTAAACCAGCCTGCATATATGAAAACAAATTTAAATATGTTTCAAAGTTGGTTTGATTGATAATCAGAACATTTTCAGATGTTCATTTTAGTTACAAATAAACGCTGATGAGTCCAAACAGATAAACAGCTTTCGCCGCCAGAAATATAAAGGGATCTGGACGGTGGTCAACAGTTATTTGTGATTGTCCTTTTGTAAAATGACAAACGAGGTCGCGAATTTAATTCTTGGTAGTGTGTTTGACCATAAACAGTTTAGTTTCATGCTTTTATCATTAAAAACAGAGTTCATTAACATTATATTTATCCTCTTTCTTCTTGATCCCGTGCATTGCATAATGCAATACAACTTTAAAAAAGTAAATCCCATGCATCTCACTACCTTAATGATAAACTAAAGGCACTGCTGGTCTAATGAGTTTAACCCTTCGATGACATTAAGTTTCATACTACAAGCATAGGTAGCGTTGCAAAGTCAATGTAGCATGCTGTGATTATCTTCTAAATCATATCGGTTTTCAATGTAGGAATGACTTTCACAAATGGCAAATATAGAAGAAAGTGCTGAATTCCTATGACACAGAAGTTACTCAAATGTGCACACTTTGTCCTTCGTTCTTCGCTAATCTCTTGGCTAATTTCAGATTTCAGTTGTGTTACAAATGCCATAGGACAGCTTATTTGAATGATACTATTTGCAAGTGAATTACCCTTCAACGGGGCATTGACACAACCATGTGTTTCTGTTAGTGATAGTTTATTGTTACTGATCGGAATTTTGATTTTTCATGAATTAATCAGAACTTGACTGAGACTTGAACCATGTTTCATAAAGTTCCTTGTTGAGACCTTGACCCGACAGGGAGCTGCTCAGTGGTTCTACGCTTTCCTTCATAGTTGTAATAATAATATGCTCACATTTGACATTGTCCTTTTAAATATTGACCAGCCAAATTGTTTTGTCCATTTATTACCCTGGCTCTCCCAATAAATCCCGTTGAGTTTGCTACAATGGAATCTACCGGAGAATATAAGGGTAACGCTATTTTTCAGGGCATTATCATTTGCAAAAGCCCGAGGTCTTCCATTAACTGCCCGATGAAGGAGGGCAGTTGAAAAGAGCGAGGGCTTCTGCAAATGATAATGCTCTGAAAAATAGCGTTACCATTATTATAGCTAAAATGGATGGAATTTGTCATCAAATAAAAGAAACAACAACAGCGGTTTTGAAACAACTACTGCAATCAACACGAATGTCACTGACCAACTTTTACAAATATGAAAACGTCATAGAACAAACCAGATGCCGTCACTATTGAACGTAACGTCACCTGTCCCTTTCCTATGACGTTATCTAACAACGGGCGTGATAATGGCCCATCGTCAAGCAGTATGAAGGCATTATCAAGTTACAGTGGCCCGCTCATTTCTGATAACATGCGGGCGGTTTAATGATAATTCTATCCATTTTAGCTATAATGACTGATAACTTTTCAAATTGTGTATTTTTTACAGCCACCGACCTACTGCTGCGTCGACCTTCGCATTGTCGAATCTCCTAACTGTATCTACGTCGGTGGTGACATTGGTACTAGCAGAAAGGTCATTCCCCTTTGAATCACGGAGCTGGCTAGATTTCTGAGAATCCTTAGGAAGGGGTTTATCTCGACTAACTCAGCGTCCGATTTTCGGCCACAAGTCTACAGCCAATTCCCACAAGGGAATTAAACATGACCCAATTCATGTTGTAATGGTTATAACTCTTGTTATGGCTTTGTAGAGGTAACTTGTATTTCGCTTATAAAAGGACTAATCCTAGTGTTCTGTGTTACATTGTTGCAGCGAACATGTTGATTGTGAACAGGATAGTCATGGGGGTTAATCTGCACACCCAAGGGAAAGGGGGCACATCGCATAGAAGTGCCGATAGCTCAACACTCAGGATGAAGGGGAGATCTCACCACAGTTGTGACCAAAAATAGAATGTTGAGGAAATATTTTGGTAAATATGTTTATTTATCGCATTTAAACAACGATTGTACGACTGCTTCAATTATGTTTGACATTTGTACCATCAATTTGTCTTCAAATGTAATTATTCTGTCCAATTTAAATCACTACTTACGGTTAAAGGATACCTTACATCAGATAGTCCATTGTGTTATAAATATGTATTGCTAAATTTAGATGTAACATGTTGAGATTGTCGGTTGAAACAGGGAGGCGAAACAAAGCCACCTTTTTCTTGTTTACCTCAGCGGCGAAGCTTTGGGTAGTGATCTGATATTTTAAAACAAATACGAGGGAAGGTGAGCACAGATGAACACGACTGTGTAGTCTATGGTTTGTTTAGCAAGTGTCAATAGGTTGAAATAAGTGACAATCGTATTTTATACGATATCGAGCTGTGGTTCGAACCAAGTGCGAAATCTTGAATAAGGACCAAGATGGCGGGTGTCACTCCTTGTCTATATGAATAGAGGGTGGGGTTTTTTTCAATACGGATATATTATGCTATACACGGTATCATCGAGTTCCTGTGGTTTGTGAGAAACCTACCCGTTTGTTTCACCAAAGTATTCAACGTTTCGGTCTTTCCTCCCACATCACGCTGACACGCCCTTGAATAACTGGAATACTGTTTAAAGCGGCGTTATCGCAGCCACAACTACTATACACACAGTTAAGCGATCTGCGTGGAGAAACGGTTGTCTGAATACATCACTCCATTATCCCAAACAAACTCCACTGAAGGAGATGAAAGCTTTGTTAACGCACTGTCACGGCATTGGACGTGATCGGAATCAGATGTTGAATGAACATGAACGTTTGTGGTACTTCAAAATAATATTTACTTTTACTTTAAGCAAAAAAAGTAACGAAACCTAAGATTCTCGATGGCATATCGTAAATCCTGTCGTTACCGTTACCGTTATTATAGCTAAAATGGATGGAATTTGTTATCAGATAAAAATAAACAACAATATCGGTTTTGAAACAACTACTGCAATCAACACGAATGTCACTGACCAACTTTTACAAATATGGAAACGTCCGAGAACAAACCAGATGCCGTCACTATTGAAAGTAACGTAACCTATCCCTATCCCATGACGTCACCTAACAACGGGCGTGATAATGGCCCATCGTCAAGCAATAAGAAGGCATTATCAAGTTACAGTGGCCCGCTCATTTTTAATAACATGCGGGCGGCTTAATGATAAATATTTTTTTAGTTTGATGTTTACACGATATACGGCTTTTCCATTGGACGAGAGGTCGGTCACGTGACCGCGAAATTTACGTTCATAAGTGTATGAACGACACAATTTGACGTTTATACGTTTTTCACGAGATCGTGTTCTTGAAATGACGTAAACACTGACGGACTACTTCCACATTCCTGGGAATTACCTAGCACGAAAACATACATAAGCGTTCTTTCTGGTCATTTAGAACCTTTATTCTTGGTCTCAGCGTTTCAGTATACATTGAGAAATGTCAGAGAGGGTGACTGCATGATTGTTCACGAATATCCTCGCTGCGGCGTATCCTAATGAACAAACGAAGAAATGCACATCTAAACTATCGTAGTATCGACTCAATCCGTGCCTCGGCTGACATTGACCGTCTCCAGCAATCTATGAATTTACCTTAGTGTCTGTTTGACGCATCTTTATTCACCTTTCAATGATCGGCCAGTTGATCAATGATGACTAACACATGTAACCGCCACGTGTTCATTAAGAACTTCGGAAATCTCTCCCGTCACGTTTATCGTGTCGGCCATTTTGACGTCTTGAACTTGATGTAAATGTATTACGACGCGCTGTCATTGTGACTGAGTTAATGACCTTTCTTATCTAATGAGGATATGATTTGAACACATGTGCTGCGTAAGATGTTTCTGAAGAGCAAGTTGTGTATCCATACGCCCATGTCACCTCTCTTTTTGAGGAACTATTTTACTCCGCGATATAGCTGGTAGTTGTATGGCTGTCAGTGTAAACATGAAGTCGCACGTACTAAATAAAATTGTGTTTAGATTTTGGCCTACATCAATTGAGGTAAGAAATTGTGATAAAAAATTTATAAGAATTGACTTTCACGTTCACGTCCGACGTTCATACAGTTTGGCCCTCACTCTATGAAGGTTCATGCTCCAATGAACTCACACAAAGTGAAGGTCAATTCTTAATTCTCTCCATTTTAGATATAATTACAAGTAAATTATATATCTAGACTCATAATGACTCGAATGAACATTTGCCGTTCAGGACAATGCCTCTTCAAGACGCGACCACGCTAAATTTTGAAAATTTGATTCTTAGAATTGGTCTTAACCCATGTTTGTCATAACGTGATCGGGTGGTCAGGCTTGGTTGCTTGGTTGATACTTGATATCGTATCCCAACTGCGTGGATCGATGCTCATGGTGTCAATCACTGGACTGTCTAGTCCGGACTCGAATATTTACTGACTCCCGAATAGCTGGAATACTGCCCAGTGCGACGATAGACAACAAACAAACACTATGAACTGAGAGGCCATGACACAAAAACTACAGTCCCAAAGCCGGGTTTTAGAGATTTCACTACGTGATTTAACCCTCAAATATCCGTAGAATGCAGTTGAAGGAACACTTTCAGTTTGTGCTGACATTTGTAAGTTTTAGTTGTTTTATTTTTTATTTTTTATTTTTTTTGTTTTTGTTTAATGTTGTATTGTATGCAGTATTCCAGCTACATGACGGCGGTCTGTCAATAGTCGAATCTGGACAAGACAATCCCCGTATGTAGACCGACGTGCACGTGTACCTTACTCACTGCACGTGTGCGGGTGTGTGCACTTGTTCACGCCATACCCTATATTACACAGCGGGTATTATACCGCGGACGTTGTGTCAACCTGATTTTTCAAAACCTGTTCGGACTGTGTATACGGCAAATACAACCCAAGCAAACACCTTGTCCTACTTTCAGCAAAACTATTACTATCCCAGCTTAGGGCCAGTGATAAAAACCATGCAGAAGGCCCATGCATATATATCAAAGTTTACTTATACAGATAGGCTGGGCGAGTGTCGTCATTTTCACGATACCAGAAGCTAGCCCGAAGTCTGCATTATTTAACCGACTTTCTTGCATAGATCTGAAACATTCACAGTGACTGTATTTTTTGCCGGTGACGGCGCGAAAATGGCTCGCTTAGATTTGACCGACTATGATGTCTCCATGAAGACTGGTTTCGTTCTGGAGGATCCACTGGTAGGTTGTGTAGACTTATGATTATATGATGATTTTTATTATGATTACACGAACACGCACACGCACGCACGCACGCACGCACGCACGCACGCACACATATATAAATATATATATCAGAAACGCTTCCAATGATGGATGTAACATGTACATAATAATAGAATAATAAATTATATTTTAATTGCATTGCGATGGGGGAGGGGGGGGGGAGGGGGGAGGGGGGGGGGGGGGGTCACGGGTGGCCCAATCGTTTAATGGCAAACGTCTGAGACATGCATCACTTCGGGTTTTCCTCCCACATTAAGCTGACACGCCGTGATATAACTGGAATACTGTTAAAAGCGGCGTTAAACCCAGCTTACTCCTCTAATTGCATTGCATGTCTTGAATCAGTTTTCACCTTTATACCCAAACACGTTTCATCATAAAAACTTGCATCCATAACTGATGAAATGATTCATAGAATTGCGCGAGTGTCGTTACGATTATTTAACCGAGGTTCTCGCATAGATCAGAAACATTCACTGTATGTGTTGCCGGTGACGGCGAAAAAATGGCTCGCTTAGATTTGACCGACTATGATGTCTCCATGAGGACTGGTTTCGTTCTGGAAGATCCACTGGTAGGTTGTTTAGACTTATGATTATATATATGATGGTTGTTATGATGATCACACACACACGCACACACACGCACACGCACGCATACGTACACACACGCACGCACACACGCACACGAACGCATACGTACACACACACGCACACACATGCACACACGCAAGCACGCACGCACGCACACACACGCGCACACGCACGCACACACACGCACACACATATATATGTATCCTATCACTGGTCGTTAATTCAAAACAATTTGAGCCCTCATATGTGAAGTCTTCTTTGACAAAACATTCAGTCATTTCAAATGCAAACTTTTCTCAGAACATCATATCGGCAATGCTTCCAATGATGAAAGTGTTGAACACATTTGAGGCTATAATTACGACCTATTATCCTCCATCTATTGACAAAGTTACATCTAAATAATGATAGAAGTCAAAATTATGTTTGAATTGCATTGCGTGTCATAAATCCTTGTTAAACCTTTAAACCCAAACACGTTTCATCATAAAATCTTGCATCCGAAACTGACGAAATACTTCAACGAATTGCACGAGATTCACGTTCATTTGCATAACTGTGCAGACTAAGGTCTGTTGTTTAATATATACAGTTTACTGTATATATTTGAGAAATTATCTTGGATACGAATAACACTGTCGTGATAAAATGAAACGGATACAAGTATTGTTATAGTAAAAACATAATCGATTTTTATTCAATAAGCTTAGTTTGTCTTACTATTTAAAAATGATGAGATGCCTTTATTTCCATAAATTCTGAATAAATAGAGACGGATCAAGCCTAGCTATAGGTTATCTCTCCGACCTCCCCAATGTGCGAGTCGTTATAGCGGGGAGTATCGGAGCTACCCATGTGGTTGGAAGCGAGATCAAAGGCGCCGCCTTCTACTGGACCACAGCCAGTTCACTCAAACGTTCCATTCATTCTCCACTCCCTTTATGCCTACACTCGCCTTTCAGTATTACACGTGGATATCTGCATTCGGGGAACGCCACTTTAAATGACACTACGTTCTTTTCAATGTCTCAATTTCAAGCCCTCATATTCAAATAGGATGGCATGGTTTCATAATAACGTGTTATTGGCGTGACTGGGTTAATGTTGATTTACGCCGCAGTCAGCAATATTCTAGCTGTGTCACGCCGAGATGTACAGGCTGAAGTTGGGAAAATGCATGCTAGTGGTTGAGGGGGGGGGGGGGGGGGGGCTGCTTTCACCTACGACACCAGGGCGCACAGTGAGGAGTGAGTACTGTTTTACGCCGCTTTTAGCAATATTCCAGCAATATCACGGCGGGCGACACCAGAAATTGTCTTCACACATTGTACCCATGAGGATTTGAACCCGGGTCATTGGCGTGACGATCGTTCAATTCCTGAACTGAACTTCCCCACGTTGAAATTTGAGAGGTTTAGTGATGACTTATACAAAAGTGGCATATTTCATCATCGGAAGTGTTTCCAACATATTTTCTACTATTAAATCATGTAAAGACAAGCCCATAATGCGGTCAGGCACAAAATAGCTCTGGTCAGGATTTAAGAGGTTGAATCTGAATTTGTAATTCAATCATTTATATGTGGCTCTTCTAGTGAGTGAACTGAATTTAATACCGCTTTGAACAGTTCTGTTGCAAACATGTTAAATAACTACGTGTCAGCTTAAAACGGGAGGATAACGTCAAGAGACGCAGGTCGTTTTCTAGTCTGGTGTAACCAACGAGCGCGAATATGCTGACAGACCAAGGTAACCAACGAGCGCGAATATGCTGACAGACCAAGGGTTATTATCGTGTCGATTCCTCAATTGGGAACCACTATCAGCAGATCCTGGAACAGCTAAGACTCGCAACTCTGCACAACGAAATCAATGGCGTCGCCACAGACCACAGAACCATACATGACGCTTATTGATGGCACATTTTTCATAACATAATTTCCATATTAGGTTGTCATCGTTCCATGACTGAAATAATGCCGACGTTACCTGTTTACCCACTCACACCCACACTCTCGTCTATGGACCTTATGTTGTAAATTATCTCTCCTCTGACCTCGTCTTATTGGTTTACATTAATAGATACAGTATTGTCACAAATCTCCAAGTCCAGCCTCTTCAGTGAAGCCACAAGATACCAAGCCCTTACTTTCCTGTATTTCCAGACACGGCTGCCTCCTTACTTCGACCCCTGGAACAATGTGGCGCTCCGGTACACGGAGCTGGTCAGCACCAAGACGATGCGGGAGGAGGTACTGAAGGTGAGAGTAAGCCTGGATAAACCAACTTCAGAAACACTGCCAAACAAATTGAGTGTGTGGTGCGTGAGCGAAGCTTCGTGGGTGAATGAGTGAGTTTCACGACAACATCAAGGCTGATGGTTCGTTATGATGAACTCCCAGGGCATGACAATCGATCGATTCGGGGAAATACATGCAAAATGATACGTTGCCGACAAACTGCAATAGGGTGAATTTGCAGATCGACAATTTAACCAACATATGCCAGCAGTTGCATCACCAGTTTATCATCATATTTCACTATGTCCACGTGTTTGTTTGTTTGTTGTTTAACGTCGCACTTAGCAACATTCCAGCAGTATGAGGGCGATCTGTAAATTATCGAGTCTGGACCAGACAGTCCAGTGATTGACATCATGAGCATCGATCGATGCAGTTGGGATTGATGACATGCATCAACCACGTCAGCGAGCCTGACCAGGCCACCCGATCCCATTAGTCGCCTCTTGAGTCTCTGAAGACCCTGGATATGTCCACATGTACAACTGTGTGGTCCGTTACTTATTTTGACATTGGTTTTACGCCAACTGTTGATTTTGAAAAAAGATTGACGTCGAAGCATCTAACGATAAACGATTATGTTGTTTTATTAATGTCCGTCCTTCGCATAAACTACAAACTAAAGAAAATATAACAAAAAATTAAGACAATAAAACTTCGTTTATACAAAGGGTCACGGCTGGACCAGTCATCTAAGGCGACGGATATATCATATGCAGCTTTGGGTCGCTTATTCGCTTTATTTTCGATGGAGCCAAAGATTTCGACCTACGGGATTTATGTAGATGTATATCATATGATTCTTTACAACCCTTTTGCCCGTCATATTGTTGTAATAAGGAGGGCTTCGCACCCACTGAAGGCCCGATGGGGTAAGCCGTGTACTTCAAGAGTTCACTCGTCACGCCGATAGTCCCGGGTGCAATTCCCCACATGGGTACAATATGTCATGATATCGCAACATTGCTTCAATGTTGCTAAAATCAGCTTAGAACAAGTCATCCACCAACACCAACTGATTTGTGGTTCACGTTTTCGGACGGTTTCAGCAATATTTCCGGGGTTCGTTCGATGACACACTCACTGTAACACACACTAACAATTGTCATCTGTCCCTCTGCAGCTGCCCGTGCTGGATGTCGATCGCCTGTGTGGGATGAAGGAGGAGAGACTAGCCCATCTCCAGCTTACCGCCATGACGTCAGGATACCTCTGGCAGAATGGACTTCATGACGTCCCAAAGGTCATACACTCATCATTCGTAAATAAGCTCAGAATCGTAATCATACCGCTCACATAAAGAATATCAGGAGCAGCCGTCGTGATCATAAATAAAAATTGATCGATAATTCCGTATGTAATCTGACGGACTATGATCAACGATGTGCTGCTGAGTTTCAGTTTGGCGACAGATTTTGTTATAAGTACCTTTTTCAGTAACCGAAACTTGTTTCTTAGAATATAGGTAATTAACTTTTAGATTGATCAGCACTACAAAACTTGCAACAAATTGGTTCTGGCCGCAACTTCCCCTGTCTAGTTATCTTTTAAAGCTTGATGTTAGAGACAATGTCCAAGCATCACCACCTTCTGGAGAATGTTCAAATACCAACAACCTTCTACAGACAATGTCCAAATACCAACAGCCTTCTCCAGACAATGTTCAAATACCAACAACCTTCTCCAGACAATGTTCAAATACAAGCAACCTTCTCCAGACAATGTTCAAATACCAACAACCTTCTCCAGACAATGTTCAAATACAACAACCTTCTCCAGACAATGTTCAAATATTCAAATACCAACAACCTTCTACAGACAATGTTCAAATACCAATAACCTTCTCCAGACAATGTTCAAATATTCAAATACCAACAACCTTTTACAGACAATGTTCAAATACCAACAGCCTTCTTCAGACAATGTTCAAATACCAACAACCTTCTACAGACACTGTTCAAATACTAACAACCTTCCAGAAACACTGTCAAAACACCAAAGAACAAGTAATCAATTCGAAGGGCCGACATATCTGTAATTCTTTTAATTGTTATCAATTCCAGGTCCTGCCCAAGTGTTTGGCTGTTCCCTTACATGGGATGTTTGAGAAACAAGGGTTCCAGCCCGTCATCACATACGCTGATTTGTACCTGTCGAATACCATATTGAAGGATCCGAACGAGTGAGATTGTTTTACGTTGTAATTGCACCCCATCGAATTGTAGTTTTATTCATGTGTACCTAATTCATGAATTATTATATATGATTTTATACATAGCATGTGATTTGTGAAAAACATAACGGTTATAATATATTGTTTTTTTAAACGGATTTTTTATTGATGTTGACATATCTCGTGCTCTTTGGGAAAGTTGTCATTTGATAAAGGAAAGCGGCGATTGGTGCCGATATGTTTTTTGTCATTATCATTCATTTGAGAGTTAGATGTTTTTACCCAAATGTTTCATCACTTTGATTATAACACAATGATCTGTTTCAGACCTGCTGTTATCGAGTAAGTGAATATATTTTCTCTTTTTGAAATAAAAGGCTTCTTACTCTACAGCTGTTGCACGATCACTGACACTAGCCGTTTGGATTTCAGAAGAGGCAACTGAAATTAAATCAGATTGATGCAACGACTGTGTTAAAAGAAACCAGTGCTTTAAGGCGGAATTTTGCACGTTATCGATATAGTGATGAGTTGTTTACGAAAGTGATCAACGCAAATGATTTCCCTTAGTTTGTGGTAAGATTATATCTTAATATGGCGCAATACTGCTTAAAACCTTTCACATCGCAAATAGCTCTATTGTATGAGTTGTGAAGATTTCCAGGGCAGGTCACTTAATTCGTATTTAGGAAAATGTTACTGAGATGACTGAATGTCATTTTATTCACACAGCATTGAAGGTCTTGTGAAGGAATATTTACAATGAACCCCCGTTAACCTGAAAACCATAATGTCCTAACGAGTAGCCCTGGGGATATTACTGTGTTACTCTCTCTCTCTCTCTCTCTCTCTCTCTCTCTCTCTCTCTCTCTCTCTCTCTCTCTCTCTCTCTCTCTCTCTCTCTCTCTCTCTGTGGATTGTAGCGTTTTTGTCGTTGCAGGAACTTCGCTGCCATTATCGACATGATGGGGGGGTCGGAATGGCTGTGGTTCTTCGCCGTGGGGATCAGAGTCGAGCAGGACTTTGCAGAGGCTATGCAGGTAGGGTGAGTGAGGTGATATGCAACGTGGCATCGGCAATATTTCGACACCGTGCGACGAGTTATGCGGGTATAGTGAGAGAGTAAGTGAGTATGGTTTTACGCTTTTAGCAATATTCCAGCTACATTGTTATAACAAACTGACGTATATAACGAACTGTTTTTCCCCGTCCGTTTGCTGAATATTTGCTTATAACGAACTAAGATTATAATGAACTAAAATTAGTTGCCCTTTTGAGTGCGTTTTAACCATAGTTTACTGTAGTTTAGGATAAAGTTATATCCCGATACAGGTTTTTGTCGACCCTTGACTCTACAATCAGCACTCCCGCATGTCCCGAAATATAGGGTGTGTCTTAGAAAAATCATCAATACAATTTCATTATAGTTATGAAAACTTCGGATTCTTTTCAGATCTTTTCAGATCTTTTGTCGTTTGGAAACACATGACCTGACACATTAACTTACTCCGCTCTCGAAACTCTCGCCGTCCTTGTCAAGATTAATAAATATGTTTTGCGTTATTACGTTTAATAATGCGCAAAACTAGGTTTGACTATAATGTTTGTAGGGCGCTCTGTATGTTGTCCATTGTCTGTGGCGGACGAGGGTTTTGGGGATTGGGTTGACTGGACGAAGAGTTATGTTTAGCAAACAACATGGGTTGAAAGCATTTCGTGTCGTCGGCTGAATTAGATATGTGAAGCCTGTGTACACTTGAACCCACGGATTGACAAGGTCATATATCATTGTATTGTATTTTTCGCTTTTTAACATACCAAAATATGTTAAAAGATGGTACTTGTTGTTACCCTGCCAAGGAACTAAGGGGTTAAAACAGGGGGACTGGTATACACACACACGCGCACACGCACACGCGCGCGGACACAAGCACATGCATGCACGTCGCTATATAAGTGCAATAATCTTGATTCACCTCACCTATCTCAACTCACCTATCACTCAGAGTGAGTGAGTGAGTTTGGTTTAACGCCTCTTTGAAAAAGTATACCCGTGTCAGCTTTATTTTGGACTACATGAGTTGGGTAAGGCCGCTCTGAACAGTATTTCACTTATATCACAGCGTGTCAGCTTAATGTGGGACTGCGTCAGGCTGGTTTAACGCCGCTTTGAACAGTATTCCACTTATATCAAAGCGTGTCAGCTCTATGTGGGACTGCGTGAGTTTGGTTTAACGCCGCTTTGAACAGTTTTCCGCTTATATCACGGTGTGTCAGCTTAATGTTGGGGGGAAACCAGAAGTAAGGAATCTATAATGCGGTTAAAAGCGACGTTGTACCCAACTCACTCCTTCACTCAAAGAGGAATTGAGCTCACTCACTCACTCACTCACTCACCTGGTGTTTTATAACATTTGCCAGGCATTCCAGGATGTCCTCGATGGAACCGACGAGAATGATGCAGAAAAGATCGCCAGGTCCCTTGACGTAATATCTGACGCTGTCCACAACATGCAGAACACAATGAAACGGTTTCACGGTGAGTCTACATCACGTATATATTAGACGTGACGGAGTAACACGCGTATCGGTTCCATTTTAGTCCATCGTTAGTTGCATGGCCAAACATAACTACATTGTACATGGTACCTCTTCGTTTCTAATAGTCGGTAGGGAACTCGGACGTTATAGTCTATCGAAAATAGATAGCACAAACACGCACACGCACGCACACAGGCACGCACGCTCGCACGCATCGTTTGAATGTATTGGATCATGTAAACTTGTAATTGTAATAAACACTTTTATGTATTTAAATCTAATTTCTATATAATGATTGTTTTGGGGTATTTTTTGTTTATCGCCGTCCATATATGTACTTTATGTGTCTAAATAAATTAAAAGTTTGTCTTGCGTTGGGTGAGTGAATATGACTTAACACCGCTGTTAGCAATAGTACAGCAATATCATTAGTTGACGCGTGTAGTGAATAGAACCCTGTTTCGGTTCGAGGAGGGACTGTTTTAACCATTAGATTATTCCACAATCCTTTCTTGTTAAAAAGAGGCGGTGGGTTAGCCAAGTGCTTGAAGCGTTCACTCGTCACGCCGAAGACCCAGGCTCGAATCCCCACATGGGTGAAAAGTGTTACGCCCATTTCTGTTGTCCCCGCCGTGATATTGCTGGATTGTTGCTAAAAGAGGCGTAAAAACATACGCACTCCTTCTTGTAAAAAAATGAAAGATGTTTTGGACTGGGTGACTTCATTTTCAGGAAGCAATGATGTGATGGTTTGTAATTCATATCTAATAATCTTCGGTTTCCTTTTCTGTTATGGTTTCCAGTTATTACCGCACACAGGGTAAAAAATAGGAATGTTATAACCTTTTTTATAAACCGACATTCGATTAATTATGATATCGTTAAATATGAACCAGTGAACACGTGTATTCAAATTGATCTTTCATTTCAGAAAACCTAACAGTTGAAGGTTTCTTCCCGAAAATGACGACTTTCTTTGGCGGGTAAGTTTATCACTTAAGACGACACCTGAACCACGATGTATGGAACACAATAGCTGACAAAATACTTGGTGTGTGTATACACCAACATGAAGTGGTGCTTGTGACACAGCAGTTAAACAATAACAAAACTGAAAACCTTAAAGGCGAAACCAATGGCGCACGCATCATTGGTAATAGGTGACGGACGAGAGAAAGGACCTTCTCTAAATACAAATGGTCTTCAAAAACAAAGACGGTGTGGTTGTACTCATTTCTATCCAAATAAAATAAAGTCAAACGTTCTATATTTTACCACTATATATCACCATGTACACGAAATGCACGCGCAGCACACAGTCCTTCAAATGATGTGACTGCAGTGATCTAAATATAGATGGGCACCACGTGATCAAATGACGTTTTCTCATTGGCCAAGGAGTGGGTTTGGTTTTACGTCGCTTTGTACCAATGTCGGGAATCGAACCAGGTTCTTCGGCGTGACGAGCGAACGCTTTAACCACTAGGCTACCCGACTGCCCCTCTTCTGCTGTAGTAGATATGTATATTCGTGTCTTGGTTTCAGGTACGGGGAACTGGCGCTGCATGACGGCCTTATATTTGAAGGCGTAAAACAGGAGCCGATTAAGGTGCGTGAGGGGATTGTGGTGCAAGAGACCGACCATTTAAAGCTCTTGAATTACTTTTACTTTTACTTTTTTTCAAGCAAACACATATTTCTTTTGTAAAATGTGAGGCCAATTATTTTTCCATTTTTGTTTGGAAAGGGGTTTTTTTTACAATCGTCATTTAGCTGTGTACTGGGACAAGAAGGAGTAAATAGAACCAGGTATACAAGCTTAATTAATGTTTCCCTGCGAAATGAATACACCCCTATGACTTAAGTGACGTCAACTTCAGTTTCAGGCTGTGAGATATGAACAATCAATCATGTGCCCTGTCGAAATATCTTTAGAGACCCGTGAAGATCCGGTGTAGAATAGGTCTTCAGCAACCCGTGCTTGCCGTAAAAGGCGACTGTGTTTATCGCAAGAGGCGACTAACTGGATCGGGTTGTCAGGCTCGCTAAATTGGTTGATGCATGTCATCGTATCCTTATTGCGCCGATCGATGCTCATAATATCAATCACTGAACTGTCTGGTCCAGACTCGAATTTTTAGCACCGCCGTCACATAGCTGGAATATTGCTGAGTGCGGCGTTAAACAATAAACAAACAAATCAGTTTCACGCTGTAAGATATAAAAAATAATCATGCACACTGTCGAAATATATACTCTTCACCAAAAGAAACGCAAAGCCACATTTGTGTGAGGTAGGAAAATACATTTATACGAGGAACCGTACAAGGTTTTGAGCCAAAATGTTGTGGAGAGAACACTTGGTGATTGTAGTCATCTCAGTTATGGGTACATAGGTAAAGTCCAAGGTGAATGTCAGCTACCATCTGGGGTTGTGGCTGACTTCGGTGTAGCCGAAGATCTGCTGCTCTCAAACGATTTCGTACGGTCTGGTCGGAGATTCTGGACAGTCCGGGTATTTGGGGTGCGGTTGAGGTGGCTGTGGTCTTCCTTTCACGTAGGTTGCGCAGTCGGATGTAGCGATCTTGGGCGGGAGTGGTTACCCTTGGTCGTCCCGACCTTGGCCGTTCACGTGTTGACCCATACTGTTGAAACTGATCTCGCAGCCCTGTGATGGTAGTGGGCGCTACATTGAAAACCCTGGCTACAGCTGATCGGGATTCTCCTGCCTGCAAGCGGCCTATGACGTTGTTTCTTTGCACTTCTGTTAATCTTGACATGTTGTTGAACTGTCACTGTTCGATTGACGCAGATGCCAGGCAAGCAAAACCCCTGCACTTTAACACCATTCATAGTGCTGCTGCCCGTGCAGTACGTGCAGTCCCCTTGCCCTTTCGTTAATGCACGTGGTGCGTTTTTTCCGAATCATACGTGTTTCCTGACTAATGATTTGCATGTCCTTATTGTGATCATTTTGATCCGAGAAATTTGTCACTATAACACATTAAACCTTTTCATTGTACCTCTTGGTCAGCTAATTTTGCTTTTATGGCCAAAAATATCCGTTTTGCGTTTCAAAACAACCATTCGTAGACGGTTGATGTTCGTGTATTCATCGTTACTTAACATTTCTTGCTGTAACGCCGCTGTTGTTTGTTGTCAGTCACATTCAAGCAATATGGCGGTGGTCTGTAATCAAGTGACAGTCCAGTGATTGACATCATAAGCATTGATCTATACGGTGATGTGCATCAACCAATTCTAACCTGGATCTTCACAATAATGCTGGTAATAGCGCTGACGGAGCCAGAAAGTTGCATTGCCTTCAACGTCATAGAGAGATTATGGTGTAAGACATTTATGTTGCAATGAACCTACCCTCAACAATAACAATAACATACAAGCGTGTTCGTAGACAAACAAATGATTCAACTGTCTTTTGTTTCAGGCCAAAGGTGCCAACGCAGGCCAATCCCCTGTGATGAAGGCTCTTGACGCTCTGCTGGGGATAGAACACGAGGAGAGTGAGTTGTCTCCCTTTCTTTTCTCTCAAGCGCTCACATAGATGCACAGATGCGTTTCCATTGCTACACTAAAAGACAAGTAAATGGGGGGGTAAGAGAGTAAGGGTTAATGGTTAGAAAGTCAGGTTTTCGCCGCTTTCCGTCACATCACGGTGTGTCGGTTTACTGTGTCAGCACCATACCCATCCTCGTGGGTTTCACCAGAGTGGTAAACTTCTGAGACCTGCATCACTTCGGGTTTTCCTCCCACAGTAAACTGACTGGAATATTATTCAAAGCGGCGTTAAACCCAACTCGCTCACTCACTCACTCCTGACCCATTTGTCACTATAGCTTCGTTTTGGAAGTATCGTCACCATCTCGTCCTCATTGGCTCATAGTTTGTCATCAGCTGTTCAATGTCATCTTGGAGGTTTCCGGTTTACACGCCAGGAAAGTGTACCAGAACACTCCCATGTCTCCGATTGGCTACAGAGCATAAAACATTTTTAAGATCTATAAACCAGTCTCTTTCTTACCGCTTACCTCCAAATATATCATCTTTATTTCACCGAAAGTGAACTTAAAATGAGGATTCAAGATCGAAAACTGAAACAGTTTGCAGTTTCGTAATTACCATCTTGTTTTCAAAAGCCGATACCTGTTTTTGTTTTCGAGCTGAATCCTTTTTCAAAGATCATTTCTTTTTCAGATCTAGTACAGCCAATTCAGGCCAAGTGAAGCTCTTGAAATTCCTATATGTTCCGATAAACATAACCCTGATTTGAACTGGCCATAAAGAAATAGTATTATTTGAATTACTTGTTCCAAGTGAAGTAAATAACAAGGGATACATATGTTAACAGTTGGTTGTTTATGTTGTCTACACAGAGAGACAAGCGTATACCGAGGAAATCATCACCTATATGGTACCAAACCATGGGCGGCTTATGCGGGACTTGCGTCAGAGGCCCAAACAGCTGAAGGCAGTCGGTAAGTCCTTTCAGTTTTAAAGACGAGGTGTTAAGCAAGTTAAAAATAGAAATATTTAGGAGTAAGATCACCCAGACACTTGATGAAGTAAATGGAGGATAACGCCTTGTTCAAGATTACTATTCCCCGCCACAAAGTCACATATGTATCAATATACTGACTCCGACTAGTCCTTGTTTTATTCGGGGGCACGGGTGGCCGAGTCGTCTAAGGCGCCGCGATTCGCTATGCAGAGTTGCGTCCCTTGGGCACGCCAGAAACCTATGATTGTGGGTTCGAAACCCGAATCGTCTGAGACCTTCACTTCGGGCTTTCCTCCCACCCCGTGATTTAACTGGAATACTGTTTAAGGAGGCGTTAAACCCAACTCACCCACTTACTCACTTGTTTTATTCCCTTAATGCCGAGCGCCAGGCAGGGTATACGTAAGAACGAGTACTTTCTTTTGACGTCTTTTTGGAATGACGTGCAGGGAATCGAACCAACGGCCTTCCGCTACGGACAGACGCTCTATCCACTACACTACGGGGGCAGTGTTTTATGGCACCAGGGTTAGAACGGGGTTGTAGTATATTCGCTTATGAGATAAAACAATTCGGGGTAGAATCTTGGCAGCAAGGTTGAAAACATCAGAATCCATCAATGATGTTGCCAGAACTTTTATCGCTTCCTCCTTCCTAAATGGCCGTCATTTTATCTCCACTATCAGTCATATTTCAAAATATAACTGTCATTGACTCCGTGACACATAGACATGGTGCATATTAAATGTAAGCTCCGTATATGTCCTTTCTATACATAAAAGTGTTTAATACTTCAATTAAGAATTATCAGTCAAAAGCTGTTCATGATATAGATGACTGACTGTAATACATTGCACCAAACTCACTGCCCACTACAAGACACGTGGAAATGTTTGTACAGTCGAGTCCAGCAGTAACGCTGACCTGAAGCAGGCCTACAACAACCTGGTCCAGACCATCCTCAAGTTCAGGTCCTACCACGTGCAGATTGTAACCAAGTGAGTCCATAGAAAATTGTCCAAGGTAATAAAACTCCACATGACCATAAAAACTCAGACGCTATGTCCTTGGTCTGAAGTGGCCGAGTCTGGAATTCCTAATATACAGATCCATTACCTGTCACCCTTTTTAATGTTTTAAGCATACTTATCATGGTGAGGTATAAAACATAATGAAATTATTTGGGGCCATAATTTCAACAAAGATAACACTTCATTGGCGCCAACTCAAAAAATGGTTTCGCGAATTATTTCTATTCATATTTTTTTATATTTTAAGTGCACCCCAACCAATAATGCCCTCATATTTGTCCGAACCTTAATCTAACAGAACTTAAGAACTCAAGGATTTTCCTTTTTATTCCAGGTACGTGATTCAAGGTGCTAAGAAGAATTTCCCACCAGAAATACAGGAGAGCTTCCGACCAGTGCAACAGTGTAAGTGATAGTACCCATAGTGGTTCTTGTTTCTATGTACTAGCGGCCAGTGCAACAGTGTAAGTGATAGTACCCATAGTGGTTCTTGTTTCTATGTACTAGCGGCCAGTGCAACAGTGTAAGTGATAGTACTCATAGTGGTTCTTGTTTCTATGTACTAGCGGCCAGTGCAACAGTGTAAGTGATAGTACTCATAGTGGTTCTTGTTTCTATGTACTAGCGGCCAGTGCAACAGTGTAAGTGATAGTACCCATAGTGGTTCTTGTTTCTATGTACTAGCGGCCAGTGCAACAGTGTAAGTGATAGTACTCATAGTGGTTCTTGTTTCTATGTACTAGCGGCCAGTGCAACAGTGTAAGTGATAGTACCCATAGTGGTTCTTGTTTCTATGTACTAGCGGCCAGTGCAACAGTGTAAGTGATAGTACTCATAGTGGTTCTTGTTTCTATGTACTAGCGGCCAGTGCAACAGTGTAAGTGATAGTACCCATAGTGGTTCTTGTTTCTATGTACTAGCGGCCAGTGCAACAGTGTAAGTGATAGTACTCATAGTGGTTCTTGTTTCTATGTACTAGCGGCCAGTGCAACAGTGTAAGTGATAGTACTCATAGTGGTTCTTGTTTCTATGTACTAGCGGCCAGTGCAACAGTGTAAGTGATAGTACTCATAGTGGTTCTTGTTTCTATGTACTAGCGGCCAGTGCAACAGTGTAAGTGATAGTACCCATAGTGGTTCTTGTTTCTATGTACTAGCGGCCAGTGCAACAGTGTAAGTGATAGTACTCATAGTGGTTCTTGTTTCTATGTACTAGCGGCCAGTGCAACAGTGTAAGTGATAGTACTCATAGTGGTTCTTGTTTCTATGTACTAGCGGCCAGTGCAACACTGTAAGTGATAGTACTCATAGTGGTTCTTGTTTCTATGTACTAGCGGCCAGTGGGCATTGCTGGCTAGAATAGGTCCCCAGCAACCTATGCCAGTCGTATCGCGGGGATTCTGTGTGAGAATAGGTCCTCTACAATCTATGCTTGCCGTACCACGGGGATGCCGGGTTAGAATATGTCCACTACAATCTATGCTGATCTTACTGCAGGGATTCCGGGTTAGGTATTGGAGAAAACACGCTTACGAGGTTTTGGTAGACAGAGCATGCCCTGGGGAGAGGGAAAAACCAAGGGGGCGAAGCGGTTTTTCCCGACCCCCAGGGCATGCTCTGTCTACCAAAACCGAGGGAAAGTGTTTTTCCATACTTATAAACCGAAAAAAGAAACATTTATCAACATTTTTATGTTTCGAACATACTTTCCATGAACCTTAGGAAACGCGCGTAAAATATCTGTTGTGTTGCTTATCAACACCTCTGTAGCCTCGTGGTACACTCACTGGGCTACAGATATGAAGGTTGCGAGTTCGATCCTCGGGATTATAAAGAAAACATTACATGTTACAATCTGAACAGAAGTTACATTAATAAAATACCAAGTACATTATATAAAATCCCTGGGATATTATAGCAAATATGACTTGAATATCCTATAAAATCCCTGGGATATTATATAAAATCCCAGGGATATTATATAAAATCCCAGGGACATTACAACGTCCCTGTTTATGAGATTTAACCCGACTGGAAAGACAAAACCTCACAATAGGTTTTAATGCCTATAGAAAGAAGTCTCTTACTTAATAGCGATCCCAATGAATAGGTTTCTAAAATAGGTCCACTACAATCTATGCTGATCTTACCGCGGGGATACCGGGTTAGAATAGGTCCACTACAATCTATGCTGGTCGCACCACGGGGATTCCGGGTTAGAATAGTTCCACTACAATCTATGATGGTCGTACCACGGGGATTCCGGGTTAGAATAGTCCCACTACAATCTATGCTGGTCGCACCGCTGTGATTCCGGGTTAGAATAGTTCCACTACAATCTATGCTGGTCGTACCGCGGGGATTCCGGGTTCGAATAGGCCCAAGGCAACCTATGCTTGTTGGTGACTTAATGGATCTGGTGGTCTGGCTCAGTGACTCAGCTCATTGCGTGGCATCGTACCGGACGGCGTGGATTGTTGCTCACAGTATCGATCACTGGATTGTCTGGTCCAGATTATTTGCAGATAGATGTCACACAATTGGAATATTGCTGTTCATATTCAATGACTCAAGCAAACAAGAGTTGGAGGGCAGAGATCAACTTTGTTGAAATACATTTAGACTATCTGTGGTTCTATTGTGTTTTTGATGAGGTTCAAAGATGGTGAATATTTCAATCTGTGTACATGGTTTCTTTGAAAGATCACTAAACCTGAAAACTCACTGTTTACGCTAAGGACAATGTGTTTAACGCCGCTGTGAACAGTATTTCAGTTATATGACGAGCAGGTCAGCTGGATGTGGGAGGAAAGACCGACATTATGCAGTTCTTAGACCTTTATCACTTCGGTGAACCCCACGATTAATGGTGCTGACAAACCTAGAAACACCACCAGGGTGATATTTTCTTTTTAAACAAGTTCTTGGTTTTTATATTTTCAAACTTCTGCCATGTATATTTGCAGTCATCGTTAGCTATGTGAAGGGGATGAGAGATGACTGCAAGACCGGGACAACCAGCTGAACCTTCATCAACTGAACTACATACGTCACCATGACAACTTATCTGCATAATATCACATCTTTAGTGTACCGCCTAATGGCCACATACTAATCCTATTCTTCCATATCAATATATGTTCCTGTTTTCAAGTGATAAAAATCTTTAATTTCTATTTTCGGGTGTTTATACCTGATCAGCTGATCGATCACATGAATGATTATTGATATGGTTTTTATTTTGTTTTTTTATGACAGTGACAATCTATACGTTTATCTACAATCTGACCTACATGGGATATAACAACGCCTTAATAAAAACATGTACTCCAAAATAAGATCATCTGTAAAAAAACGTTAAACATGATATGACCGATATATAAAGACATATGCTGGTGTAAGACAGGGCTGCATTTTGTCTCCTGTCCCTTTTCTCTTGTATATTGAAGAACTGGTGAATGAAATATTATCAAACAATAGAGAGGGATATTTATAGATGAAACTATACAAAATCTATCAATCTTACTATTTGCAGACGATGTAGCAATTTTGGCGGACTCGGTGATTCTGCTCCAGCGTAAAATTGATTTTCTAAATGAGCATTGTCTGAAATTGGGATTAAAAATATATACGGGTAAGACAAAAACTAATAGTCTAATAGTCTAATACCCTAAAAAAAATTATTTGGCAATTTAAAAAGTTCACCCAAAATTCTGCAAATTTCCATTGCACACAGGTTACAAAGCTGCCAATAAATATGTTTTAGCTGAATGTTGTCGCTTCCCACTGTTAATAAATGCACACATCAGAGGTTTTTTTCATATTGGATAAGGCTTATCAGACATCCTTTGACAACATACTCCAAAACCTGTTATGACTTACTCAAAAGACGATATAGCGGACTTAAACTGGGTTTCTTGTGTAAGAATACTATTATTTAAATAACTACGGTTTTGGTCATGCCTGGCTCGCACAAGATGTAGCTGACACAAGAGGGTTTCTCAATATTTTTAAAGAAAGATGTAAAGATATGTACCAAGAAGTATGGTTCATGAGTGTATGAGATTCAAGTTGTGTTCATTATTATTCTGACTTCAGAAATTCGATTACATCTGATACCTACCTTACGTCATTAGAGGCAGTTGAGTCTTGACGAAATTTAGATGCAATGTAAATACTTTTAACACTAGAGCAGCTGGATTTTATTTTAAATCTGCATTTGAAAATACATCCTGTCCATACTGTAACCACCCAAATGAATATCATTTAGAAGATAGATACTATGTGTGTGTCTATTTCCGGGATTTTATCGAGTATTTGCATCTTGGAAATTCATCTCGAGACCCGAAAGCGTTAGGTATTTATCGATATTGTAAACCTATTGTTTTATTTAGAAAAAAAACATGCGCACTCTTTAACACCTCGTACTTACTCGGTCGCTTGCTTCAGGAAATGCAAATCATATTTTCACCCTTTGACATTTGGTCATGTGACCCAAATTAGCCAATCACAACACAGAACACACTTTCTATAGGTTTTCAAGTACTATTAAAATGTCCAGAATATGCAAGTTTAAGAAATGCAACAGTATGTTTGAAATGGGCCATCTCGTGAAAAGCTGTATTATATGCTCCAAACGAACATGTTATTTTAGTTATCCGTGTTATCACACCGCATATTTCTCTTGAGGGCTCAGAAACCAATATAAATATATGATTAAATTCATGTTGTAACCCCGTTCTACATCTTCTGAAACTACAACGTGAAGGTTGCGCTGTAACTTGTAGAATGTAATTGTATGATGTACTTTGGGCCTTTTGGCCATATATACAAATAAACAAATATTGTCTGTCTGTGTTATTTTGGTGTTCTTTCTACATGTGTGTATAGTTTCATCACTATTGTTTCTTTCCCTTAACACATTTTGCCAAGCATCTCATCACAGGGTGACTAAATATAGTAATATGATCCTTAAACAAGCATTTAAGAAAAATTCAGCTCGGGTTAAAGGGAGGCTATTCCAAGGAGAAGATAATCAAAATGCGTCGGACTGGTCTTTTCGATTGTAAGAGTGTGGTTCTGAAATCTGGTCAGCTGTTGTTTCTATCATGAGTTCATCTAAATGCCATATCACACACTGCAAGCAGTCTCTAAAGCGACAGCTAAGACATCATTCTCATCAGAGTGGGTTGTGAGTTGGCTTTATGTCGAAATAGCAATATTTCAGCTATATGACAGCGCGGGACACCAGCAATGGGCTTCATACATTGTACTCATTGTGGGAGTCATCCGTGCGACGAGTGAAGGCTTTAACCCCTCGGCTACCCCACCGCCACATTCTCATCAGAACACAACATTTAGTAAAATATAATCCTGTACCAAACTTTGACTCTTAACCATATATTGTTTCTTGTCAACATCTTCTTTGTATAGATCAGAAATGGACACTAGGACATCAAAACCTATATTGTTTCTTGTCAACATCTTCTTTGTAGAAATCAGAAATGGACACTGGGACATCAAAATCTATATTGTTTCTTGTCAACATCTTCTTTGTATAGATCAGAAATGGACACTAGGACATCAAAATCTATATTGTTTCTTGTCAACATCTTCTTTGTACAGATCAGAAATGGACACTGGCACATCAAAACCTATATTGTTTCTTGTCAACATCTTCTTTGTACCGGTCAGATATGGACACTGGGACATCAAAACCTTTATTGTTTCTTGTCAACATCTTCTTTGTACAGGTCAGATATGGACACTGGGACATCAAAACCTTTGTTGTTTCCAGCATATAATAAAATGTTTTTTAGTCACTCAACCGTATAGTAGCTTTCTTGTTTAGACCTCCTGTGTGGCTCAATAATGAGAAGGTCATATGGTTCAAAATACATTTCGCAACGTCAATGTGTGTTGTAGAGTAAAATACATGTCAGACTCCTTGATCCGCTAAAGACTTCGTTGTTTGAGTTGCATACAACGGTTTAGGATTCGAACAAGTGCAAAACGTGAAAGTAGCACACATTGAAATATGTTCAGATTTATACATGTTTAACACCTCTTTCAAACATTGAATCATAACGAAAATTTTCCAATGTAAATATAACAAAAAAAATCCTAATACCACAAGGTTTTAGGTATTTGCTATTTTTGTCAAAGAGTTGGTCAATGCTGTGATGCCCTACACTGTGCCCTACTGTGATGTGTTTGTAACGGTTGCCAGGGGAGGCAGGAAACGCCCACCTTTTCCCGAACACCTGGTATCATCCGTTTGTATAAGTGATTCATAAACACATGCTCAAAATATAGTCAGAAGTGTACAGTGGACGTAAGATGATTACGAAAGTGCTTTGTCGCTTTTATTTCAATAACATAGAGACACATGTTCTGTTGCAGTGCAATTTATTGTCAAACAATGTTGTAATAATATTATTGTATTACATTGTTTCTGATAAGATTCAGTAGACGTTCATAGCATTGTGGTTTGATAATAATTAGTTGTCAAGAATCTAGTATGAATGATGACCCCCATAACAAAATAGTACTCCACACCGTAAATCCCCATGATGTCAAATGAAGACGTTCTGTATACTTACTTATGTGGTGTTATATGATGGGTTTTCTCTCCTGAAGGTCAAGGCCACCCAAACCCTAACTGTCAAAACATGGAGTATTTGGTTTTAATTAAGTACAATAGTAAACATTTTTCAATGATTATTAATAATACGTATGTATTTATAAGCATTTCGTCTATTATAACAAACGCATAAGAAAACATATTTCAACATAGTAAGACGTGATAACGGTATCATGCAAATTGTGTTTATAGTGTGCTTCGGTAGTTATGTTCCGCCACATGTGCTTACATTTTGAAATATTCTCGCAACCGTGAGACTGAATGCCATGGATGTTAGACCGGACGTGCGTATAACGTATAAGAGGCAATACTCCTGTTGCTTTGCATTGGTCATGTGTCTTCCCATCCTGGGAATGATGTTTAAAAGTTGTACTGCACTAGAGCAAAATTAGGGATATTCGTGAGGGCATCAGTCATCTCATTTGGTTAAGTCCAAATGGTTCATGATACATATTTATGGTGGGTAGGGGGGATTAGGCTGCTTTCGGTTTCGCATGTAATGCAAACACCTTTCTTTTTACGATGTCTATGTTTCACTGTAATACATGGAGGGCACGTCTGAGGCGCGGCTATTCGCTGTGCTGGGTTGCGTTGCTTTAGCACGCCAGAAACCTATGATCGTGGGTTCGAATCCCGGTTCGCCCGATTACGTTTCAATGTTTGTCAGCATCATTCCCGTGCTCGTGGGTTTCACCGAAGTGGTAAACAATGAGACTGCATCACTTCGGGCTTTCATCCCACATTAAGCTGACACGCCGCGATATAACTGGAATACTGTTCACTCACACACTGTCCTGTATGGTGAAGATCGGCATGCCTGAAACTTGCAATACAATAAGGTGTTTTTAGGGATTATGTATATTTCTTTTAAACTTCCTATCCCTAGTCAGGGAGTTTAGTTGTTTTTTCGGCGGATTGTCTGCAGCACGATTTCAGAAAGGCCGCCTCCATACAACTGAATTATTTCCGATGTGGCGTTAAACATCAATTTTCCTACGTCTTTATATGTGAACTTTTACTTCCCACCTCTGATGCTGTCAAACAACATCTTATTTTGGGTTGGTATATGTCCTCGTGGGTATATTACGATCGGAGTCAAGTCAAATCCAATATTGATGTCTCCTCCATGGCATAGCAATCCTTTCTGGTACCTAGATACATTTGTCCTTTGATTTTGTAAAGGACCACAGCATATCGATAAGGTCCATGGCTTCTTGGCTTTGACTTGTATGTCTGGTCTTTGTAAGACTTGAAAGTTATGCGTTTCCTCTCAACACCTACAGTGAGTGTCTTGAAGACTTCAACATGTCCCACATAATAGGAAGAAAATATCTTTGCGTTTGCAAGAGCTACTTGGAATGAAAGTCTTTTTGTGACTTTGAGTGACCGGAACAGATCAATTTCTAATGTCATCACCCAATAGTATATCTTCCGTTCTTCGAAACTCGATAAGCCAAAGGTATCGATTAATTCATCGTACACTTTTAAATGTTGTGACATTATGCAAATATGTCATAATGTACAGCATCAATTTTTAAAAAGGACCTTCGCAATTCCACATCTGAAATAGATTGAACAAGAAATTATTGAAAATGAAAAACAGACTGTTGATATGCCAGCTGTGATCGGAGGCCTGTAAATCACAGAGTGATTGGCGATTGAGAAAAGATCAACGCCGAGATAATCCTTATTAGAGCCGGCTCCCTTAACAAACTGACCTGGAATTCTTGCGAGATGAAAATCAATCTGGGATTGAAAATATATTATTTCCCTGTGGGGATAACAAAAGTCATCAGTTCCCATCGTGTTTTCCGAAAATGGACAGGTGGTTAATGGACAATGATGGATTACAATGAAAACTGTGATGAAGACCTTCAGTAACAACGAGAAAGCAAGTTTGTACGCAACCCACCTCGTACGAAATATGTTTGATAGGTAATTTTTTATTTAAATGTAACATATGAAACTTAAGGATTTTTAGATTTATATTTTTTCCGTTTCCAATGCATCAAAGTAGACTTAATTTCCAGAGCATAAGTCATAACTCATAACTGTTTATCCTATCTTTGTAACACTTTGTGACACACCTGGCCGAACTGGTGCTTTCTGCTATTCAGGTGTTGTTGTTTCTAGATTTTGTGTTTCTTGGGAAATATCAAATCGGACAATGAACATTTTACGTAGTATTATTCATAAACCATTCAATAGTTCTTGAACTACACATTAGATATAATACAGCCTACAACCCTGTTGGAATTCCGGGGTAAATAGGTCCCCAGTAACATATATTTGTTTTAAAAGGCGACTACATTGATTGGGTGGTCATGCCTGGTGTCTTCCTTGATTGTGTGGGATCGTACCTTGAAAGAGTGTGATGGTGTTCATAATATTAATACAGTGTTTATTAAAATAAACAAACACAGTATCACACATGAATTCAGGAATTGCTTGATTGATTTATTATTTTGTTTTTGCTTTTGAAAATATATTTACATTGCAATGACAAGAAAATCAAACGCGACAAAACCCTTTCCATATGCATAAGAAATCTTCGCTTGTACGATTCCGACAATATCACGAGCATGTGTTAATGAATCACTATTAAATAGTGTAAAGCTTTGTCTACTGAAAAAAGTACCATTACAACTTCACATCCTTGAACATTAATGAAATCATTTAAAACATAGATGGAATCATGTGGTTTAATCATCAATCAATGAACAAGCTTTAGGATTGTCATAGCCACTGATTTACCGGAAGAACATTTGTTGCTCATTACTATATATGGGTTATCATTACACTGTTAGTCAGCTTGGTATTCCGAGTGCTGGTGTAGGGACGACCTCGAGCAGGATGTGCCGCTCGTAGGAAACGTCCTGAAGTTGAGCTAGGGCTCCGCTGACCTCATGTATGCCTGAGCTGGAAAGTCCGCTCATTGCCGTGTTTGTGTTGTCAGAGCAGGTATTCCGTTCATTGTGTATTTGTTGTTAATTGTTTACATGTGGTGCAAAAAACGTTCCGGGACAGTAATGTCGATTTGGTCCTTGATTCCCCCAAGAGCTATATCCCCGTCAACATGCGCGTTGACAGGATTAACCGTTTCAAGAATGATGAGGTATATGACAAACGTTTTATGCTTTCAAGCACCTTTTGTGGGATTATCGGCTACGTTGCCTTCTTGTTCATCTTGGCATTTGTTCAACAGACTAT